TGCAAGAACATTCAACTACCAAAGAGTGTCCATGAGTCTCTCGTCATTGCTCTAAATCTGTGGTCACCTTGAAATCCCAATGGCACCTCTGTAAACCTCAGACTGATGCAAATCTCTTAGAAACTGGGCTAAGTTGAGAGAGAGAGAGAGAGAGAGAGAGAGAGAGTGAGAGGGGCTCTACAGAGTGATAAGACTTCTGAAGCCACCTTGCACAACCAGAACAGGGATCACAGTCAACCATTCCCTAGCCCACCCCAACTCCTTACAAGTTGTTCCCTTCCCTTTGTTCACAGGCCGGTCTAATCCTCTTCATCAGAGTTGTGCCTCTTTATACTCCTCAACCTGAAGTTCCCTTTCTGATTTCTCTTTCATTCTAACTTTTGGGCCAGGGATTTAGCTCAGTGGTTCCGGTGCCTGCCTCACAGCGCAAGTACCTGAGTTCGATCCCTGGTACCAAAAAAAACAATCTCTAACTTTGCCTAATAAATCAGCCTCTACTACTCACGAAGTGTCCTGCAATGCTTTTGTGTGTTAAGTGATGAACTGAGGTCCCCATCAGAAGAAGATGGGGGACCTCCTCAGACCCTATCCAATGACATCCCCATGGTATGTATGTCCCATGAACCTGGCCCAAGGTTTCAGGGGAGGACCTTTCCACTGAAGGTAATGAAATCCATCTGATTATGCAATTTGCCAGCACAGTTCCCTTCTTTAGTATTTCTCAACTTAGGGTATAATTTACTTTAAAGAGTCAGCTGTCAAGGGCATAGTCATTGATCTCCCACACTCTGAGCTAGCAGAGACACTGCACAAGTTATATCCCCTGCCCTCCACCCCAGAGGGGACCACTATACCTATAGCATGCCTGGCTACTGAGCCACCCTGGGGCAGCCAAAGAGGGCTGTCCTGGAAAGTGGGAGCACAGCTCCGAAGCTGTTCTGCCCCTGGCCACGGGGTGGGTCTGTGGGGGAGGGACAGCCCCTTTGGAGGTAGCTGTGGGGTCTTTCTTCCTTTCTCTTGAGAAATGTTTGCTGGCTGATAATACTAAGCTTCTTATCAGAGGGACATTGGCCAAACCCTTGGTATTATCTTCTGAACAGATTTTCTGAATTTGTACAATATGGACCAACTGAGATTTTTCAAACTATAAGCTTTGCTTTCTATTTTATCAAAACTTTCACTTTTTCTCTTTTTGCATTTATTTTGTCATTAGCACTCAAGAGAAATCATGCTGCATTCCCAACACTGCTTAGAAATTTCTTCAGCCAAAGGTTGTTTCATGTCTCACAAGTTTTATCTTCCACAATATACCAGGACACAGCATACAGCTGGGCCATATTTATTGCTACTTTTACCAAGGGAGGCCTCTCCCCAGCTCCCAACAACATGCTCCTCCCTCTTCCCCAGACCTCATCAGAATAGCTGTTACCTTCTGTGTTTCTAGGGATCTTCTGTTGAGGGTTATGTTGGAATTCTCTGAGGAAACTGAGGCTCTCTCCACAACTTTCCTTCTCTTTAGAGTCCTCACTAGGGTTGTCCCTAATGCTGCTTCTTTCATGGCAGCGCAGGCTCTTCCCACCAGCTGCTTTACAACTTGTAGCCTCTACCTACTGTCCAGCTGTGAAACCATTTCCATTTGTTGTTAAGTCTCAGTCCATTTTGGCTGCTATAATAAAGTAACATAGACTTAGTGACTTACGAAGCACAGAAATTTATTTTGTACAGTTCTGGAGGTTATGAAGTCCAAACCCAAAGCAAGTTTGGTGTCAGTTGAAGGCTGCTTCCTGGCTCGTGGATGGCTTTCCCTCCTGTGGCCTTACACAGTGAAGGCGACAAACAGGCTCCCTCCAGTCCCTTTTATCTGAGCACTAGTCCCATTCATCACAACTCTGCCCTCATAACCTAGTCCCCTTGCAAAGGTCCCTTGGTCAGCCCTTCCACGCTGAAGATTGAGTTTCAAAGTCTTTGGACTTTGGATAGATATAAATGTGTAAACCACAGCGGTCACGTCCTTTAGTGATCAGGAAACTCCTAAGTGTGTCCTCCTAGGAGTGTCCATTACCTAGATACTTGGCTAACAGTCCAGGCAGTGACCTCCCACAGGCATTGTTGCCACAGAGGACTGACTGCCCCCTGTCCATCCAACCATCCTTTTTATATGTGTGAAGGTGAGCAACGGCCAGCAATCTTCACTACCACTTTTGCAAAATTCATATAATGGAAGAAGGTAAGAGTCCCTGGCTCAAAATAGAGCCTCATTTTCAGTTAATTATCTCTTATAGGTACAGGAAACAGAAAGTGATGTAAGTAGTTCTGGGAAAGTCGTAGCCCCAGCACTTGGTCTGCCTTCAGAATGGTCACTGTGGACTCCCTGGGCTGTTCCTGGCCCTGAGCCAGCAGGAGAGGCACTTAACTCCCCATCCTGAAGACCACAGAAGGGATGATGATGATCTCAGGTGAGATGCCTGATGCTCAGTGGACTTCTAATGAAACTGCCGTAGCTCTCTATCTTTGTTTTCTATGGCCTCAATTCCCAGCTTTTTAAATAAGAAGTCAGAAGCAAATGACATGTAAAGCCCTTGACTGTTGTAAAATTTCATTTGGGCTTCTTGGAGAAATGAAGCTAAGGAATACTTTGGGCCTTCTTACTGATGTTTTAGGGCAAACCTCAGCCTGAGCACCATATATTATGAGGAACAGGATTGGATTCCACCGAGGATCTGAACCCAAGATTGGCCCAGATGGGGACAGTCTCCTCTTGCCATTTCCTCCTTAATCCCTATAAATACCCCTCTTGGAACATGGAAACATCTTTTGTCTTCTTGTCAGGCAGTTTTTGGGGTGAGTGTTGAGCTATATAGGGTGCTGGGGTAGGAGGAGAGAATATGCCAAGATCTGTACTTAGTCATGGGGATGTGTGTGAAATGGGGAATGTTCATGTAACATCCTTTATTGTCTGTGATCTTAAATAGGGCATAAGCCCCACACTTGTTTCACAGACCCTCAAACTCACATCCCTCAGGACAGCCACTCAACTTCCTTGGCACTATTATTTTCTCCTCTCTAGCACCCCACCAAGCTTAGTTTTCTCTTTTTCATTTTTCCTGGGGAGTGCCGTCTCTCTCCAAAAGATATTTTCAACATACCACCAACCTCAGTTGTCACAAAGAGGCTGGGAGCAAAGATGCCACATAACCTTGCGTGTGTGGCCGTCTGCAGGTGACAAGCCTACATGCAACTTTGCTACCCTAGAGCATGAGCCTGTCTCCCCTGCTAGCCCCAGGCTTTCTGCCATCCTCATGTGCACTGAACTTACCTGGACTATGTGCCACATGAGCAGAGGGCAGATTGCACATGGCTTTATTTGAAACTTTCACTAGTGTACATATCTCGGTGTCAGTCTCCTGCTAACTGTTGCAATGTTGACCTTACATTTAATGGATGGCCAGGGCACATCAGAAAGCACCATTAAAATTTCCAAGTATTATACCCTGGCATTTACCTATCAGAAGATGCATTGTTTTATTAAATTACTTTCCTTTCACTGCTCTATCATAAAATGAAGGCACTATATTGCTTTTAAAAAGAGATTATAAGTCTATGAATTTCATTTGAGGACGTATTACAAAATGTCTGTTATGATGGAGGTGTTGAGTTTGATAAAGCTGAAACTGTATTAATCAATACTGACTCATTGGGGCTGGGAGTGCAGCTCAGTAACAGAGCACTTGCCTACCATGCATAAGGCTGTGGGTTCAAACTTCAGCACCAAAGTAAAACAAATAATGCATTATTATTATTATTATTATTATTATTAGACAGTGCTGGAGATCAGTCCCAGGGCTTTGGGCATGCTAGGAAAGGGCCCTACCACCTAGCTACACCCCAGGCACCATGGTTGAATTATGATTCTCAGGGAAGTAGACATTTTTTGTGAGTTTCTCATTAAGATTTAAAACTCTCAGAATCTAGGGCTAAGAGTATAGCTCAGTGGTAGGACATGTGTTTAGCATGTTCAAGGCCCTGAGTTCAATCCAAGCCACCAAAAAACAATCTATTTCTATGAGTTAGAGTTTGGGAAAACAAGGACAGGGGAAGATTCTGGACACTGGGAAACTTTCTAGGCCCTGAGATCCTATCTTAGAGATGGATGCTGTGTTAATAAGCTGAGTCCAGACTTAGGAAGCCCAAAATATGATTATCTGTGTGCCTGATGTGGGATTAAAGTGGTAATTATCAAGCTGGGGAGCTAGTAATTATTCCTGTCTTAAGGAAGGGAAAGGAACTGTTCATCCCCAACCGCAGGCAACAGATGGTGTGGCATCCTCTGCTGCTCTGTGGACAACAATCGTGAGTGTGAACAGTAAGCACCCAGCTCATGGCTGTGGGGCCTTTCGTTCCTTCCCACCTCTTTCTTTAGGAGCCTGGTGCCGCTGTACACACATGCAATGAGCCTCGGCTAGGATAGGACTGCTGTGACCGTGGAAGTGGGCCCTGGTGGGTCTCCATGCCACTTGCTGCTCCTACACCCCCTCCACAAGTTACAAGAAGCAGAGTGAACCCTGAGTCTCCTTCCCCTTTCACAAATGAAAGTGAGAAAAAGAGACAACAGTTGAGAAAGTTAGGCAAGTACCCATTTCTGTCCAAATTTGCCAAGATTATGTACAGTGCAGACTTTCTTTGCCTTAATCAGTCAGCCGAGCAATTGAGCCTACTCCTTTCTGTTCTTTCCCAGGCATGCTGAGTAGAGGAAAGTGCATGAAATGATCTCAAACACAGCTGGCTGCTTTGATGCATATCTGTCTATGGTCTCAGGTGAATCTCATCTTCTGCAGAATCCAAGATCACAGGAGCCCTCCAGAAGCCCAGCATTCTATATTTGGAAGCGGCTTTGAAGATATGTTAGCCACTTGTTACTGTTTGCTTTAAGGCAAGCACTTCGTATTCTACTCTATTTCAGGCTCTTTTGCTACATTGGTAAAGCTATGGATTAATTTAGTCCCACTTCCTGTTCTGCAATGATGTATTTCAGAGGGTGATTCAGCAAACTTCTTTAGCTCAGATGTCTAGTCGCCAGTGTTTATGTGGGCCAGGTGGGCCAGAAGGCAGAACCAGGTCTGTCTTCCTGGTTGTCCCTGTGTCACATGCTGCCCACGGGCAAGAGGCATCATCCTGGACTGTAGATGCTCCTACCCTGAGAACCAGGGAGAGATTAAAGTTGTCACCTTTCTCCTACTGTCCATAATGAATGGATCCCAACCCTCTGCCCCAAGCAGCCTCTTCACATTTTCACCATACTTCTATGATCATTTTCTCCACTCTACTAAAACATTGAATGAGCCAAGGATGTAAATTTCTCAAATAATGAAGTGCTTAAATTGTATTGTAGGAAAAGCCTCCAGAATCCATTCAAAGGCAATTTGGAGCCAGCTTTAGAAGAATGAACTTTTGCAGAAGAAGTCAGCTTTTCTAGTCAGTGACCTTTTGAGGTCACAGCTCAAAATTGCCTGTGGAGAGCAAGGTAACTTCACCCAGTAGGGACACGTGACCCACGATAAGGCATGGTGCCTGTCTACACCTGCACTGAATAACCCTAAAACTCCTTGGTATCCGATCCAACAAGAGGCTTCTCCTACTCCTTTCCTATAAATTCTCCTGACACCAACTAATCTAGAGGCAAATTTGACCTTTCCTTCCCCAACTCCAGCTTCCTTATCAGTCAGCCTCACAATAAAGCTCTTCCATTTTGTAAAGTCTGATCACCAACTATGGCTCAGTGGGTGTCCACAGCAGCCCTTACAGAGTAGAGTAGCCAGAGTGCCTTGAAATTCAGAATAAAAAGCCAGAGAACCAGCATGATATTGGGCTCAGGCCAACCGACCTGCCCTGGACATAGACCTGTGTGGGTTGTGTACCTTTAGGCTATGGCCCAGACAGCTATATATTCACCAAATCCATGTCCCTTCCCTCCCGACTGCCAGGCAAGGCTGCATCCCCAGCTTTTCTTGGCACAGCCCTGGATGTGAGCAGTGCTCAGTGCTCCATGAAAGTTGCTTCTAGAACTTTTCAGTTGGTCATCAAGCCTCTCTTTCTCATTCGCCATTCCCCACCCGAATGGGAAGAATGCTGGAAAGTGGGAGATACAGAACAGGGACCCGGAAGGGTCTGCAGAGAGTTGCTTTGTAATCAGGAACATGAATGTAAAAAAAGTGAACTCAGTGAAGTGAACTTTTTCTGAGCAAAAGTTAACTTCTTGGGCAACTTAGTGACTTATGGAGGCCCTGTCTCAAAATAAGTTTTTTAAAAAAGCCTGCAGATGTAACTCAGCACAAAAACCCTGGGTTCAATGCCTAGTAATTCTTTAGGATCAGGTCAGTGAAAATTAGAGTCCAGGAGCCACTGGAGGCCTGGATACTGCATATCTGCCTGGGGTCCAGGAGTGACACGTACTTTCTGCACTCAGGTCAGGACTGAAAGACCTGAGGTTTGTAGGTGCTGATAGGCCATGTCCTCAGTAGGTGCTGAATAAATATTTTTCTCTTCTCCTTTAATGCAACCTTCCATCTCTGACCTCCTTTGCTGCCTATCTCATTTCCCTGAGATAACAGTCACTGTAACTGCCCAGAATGCTACAGCCATGGTGGTGCCAGAACTGAGCATTGGGTCATACCTTTCTTCGGCCATTATAATTTTTCTGTAACATTCTGTCCTCTGGGTCAGAGCACCAGGGTGAACAGATCTGTCCATCAAACTTCTACCAATAACAGAAGAGCTCAAGTCCCATAATTACCAGGTTGGTGAACTCTCTCCTGGTTGGAATAGACTGAAATTATGCTCTAAAAACTCCTAATTATACATCTCTGCCTCTGTTCAACCAGCTAGGAGCATGCTGGGTGCCAGCTCCTTGGAGGAAGCAAAGACTCCTACTGGGAACGGACAGCCCTGATACCCAAGATGGCTGTGTGCAGTCCCTGTTCCTGCGACATGTCAGATACAGGAGACTCCGTGTGCCAGCCACAGCTGGGTCCCCTGGTACAAGGCTTTGAGTGAATGTACAGAGCAGGCACAGAGGTCTGTCCTTGAAAACAGAGCACCCTGGAAGCCGAGTGCTCCCTTTCATGGCAGGAACCGGGGGAGAACTCCAGGCCCAGTGAGCTCCAGGACCACACTTGGCAAGTGATCACTAACAAAATGGAGTTGTGTGAACACTCACACACACACCTGTTATTAATCATGCACTATGTGCCAGGGCCGTGCCACACAGTGTATGCCACCTTGTTGCACACTGCCACAGCCAGCTCAAAGATGAGAACCTACTGAATCTCAGTGACTGGTCATAGGTGGAGTGGGAAGCTGAACATGGGTCTGATCCACAGTCACACCCCGTCCCATCCACGCTGTGGGTGCAGCACTGGATAGAACTGCATAGATAGTTCAGGTCTCAGGATGGCTCAGAGAGAAGCCAAACTTGTTGACACAGCCATTATGGGGACCTGAAAGCAGTGACATCTAGTCAGTGAATGTTGGTACTTAGCAACTGCTGTTCACAAGGGGCTTTCCCCTGCAAAAGCCAGGCTGGGCAGAAGTCCACCTCTCTGGGGTCAGTGTGAATTTATGGGAAAAAGTAAGCAATTTAAGTGTGGAGTTTAACTAACTGGATGTTTGCAAAAACACCATGAATCCTTGGTGGCTGATTTGGAGACCAGGACAGGCTGGTTAGAGGCCCCAACATGTCCTGAGTGAGTACCACGTGGCCTGACAGAGTGGCATGCCTGTAGTCCCAGCTGTCTGGTAGGGACACTGAAAGCAGGAGTTCAAGAACAGCTGGAAAAATAGCAAGTCTTTGGCTCAAGAAAAAAGTGGGCACAAAGCAGTCAATTAAGAAGCTGAAGGGGAAGCAGGCTGGAAATGTTCAGAAAGACATGAACCCTACAGAGGTGCCCACTAGAGATGGGAGGGTGAGGGCAAGGTGGATCATCAGGGGACCTGATGAGGGAGGATGGACCTGTTCAGGTCAGAGTGAACATCCAGGCCTCTGTACTTTAGGCCCCAGAGACCATGGCCGAAGGGACCAACTTCCTTGTGACCAGGATGGGCTGATTGCTGTGACCAGGCTGGGGGCTGGAGAAGGCACAGCAGAAGGAGTTGATATCACAGGGTCCATTGTGCATCCCTCTGCCCCTGATGGAAAGGCCGCTCATTTGGCTTGACGCCCTGCTACTACCTTCAAGCTCCTTTCACCTTTTCTTTTTTGATCAGTATTAGAGATTGAACTTAGGATCTTTGCACTGAGCTACATCCCCAGATTTTTTATTTTTTTATTTTGAGATAGGGTCTCACCAAGTCACTAAATTGTGCAGGCTGGGCTAGAACTTGCAATCCTCCTGCCCTAGCCCCCGAATGCTAGGATTATTAGCATGAGCCCCCATACTCAGCTTCACTTCATCTTTGTCTTGTGTTCTATAAGTGACATCAGCTGGGACAGTGATGCACACGGGGGAAGAGGAGGTAGATGCCACCCCCTCCCCCATGCGTGGCTACTACAGCTCTTGCTACCCCATCCCCAGGGCGATGCTGGTGCCCGTGAGCATAGATCCAACCAGCTCACAGAGAGGGCCCAAGACAAGTGGAGGGCAGCCAGCTGTGGCCCCTAAGTCCATGCTGCATGAGGAGGATGTCCAGAGGAGGCCAGTGAGATGCAGCTTTTGGAAGGAAAGCTCTGTCCTTCCTCTGAAGGATACTCACTGGTAAAGGAGGGACAGAAGTCACTTGCCAGAGACAACTCTGGACCCTTTCCATCCTGACACAGCATCAGAGGAGGCCCCTATAGCAAGGGTCATTCAGAACCATCCCCATGTGTCCCTCCTCATAGCTCCCACCCCAGGTCCTCACCGTTTCCCCTTGGTCCTGTCACTTTCCAGGGCACGTGGTGCTTCATAATGAACTGATATGAACCCAGGTTCTCCCCACCTGGGGCCATCCTCATCGCTGAGTGCTCCCCTGGGTGTGGGCAGCACATCTGGTGATGAACTTGTTTGTTTCTCTCCCATTAACCTGTCTATTGTGGGTCAAGGGTGCCAGGTGCCAATCAAGGAGGCTGCATGGGAAGAAGAAAGGAGATGTGTGGGTCGCCTGTGGCTAAGAAATGAGGGCACAGATGCCTTGAAAGAACAACTTCCCACCTGAGCCACAACTTCCTAGGATCATAGACTGGAAACACAGACAGCTAAGGACTCTACCTAGGCCTGCCTGGCTCACAATACTCCCTCATTGGCCATGTCACTAGCACCAAGTACCATACACAGGAAGGACGGAGAGAGTGGCCCAGGGTTCCTTTGCCTCAGTTTCTCCTGACTGCCAGTGAGAGACACAGGTGTCTAGTATTGGTAGAGTGCACATTTCAGGCCTCAGGAGAAATAGCTGAGTCAGTAGTGTTTCACATGCTGATCAGAAAATAAATTATGTATGTATGTATGAGCTACAAAATACACACGGAGGGATTTGGACGATATTGCATTTAAAATTCGCATTGCACAAAATAAAGTTGACTGATAATTTTTAATTTTTCTCCTTGGGATGACTTTAAACAACCAATGAAAGAATACAGTGACAGGCAAGATC